GGGGGGGGGGCTTGCAGAGCTTAACATATCTGATTAATTACGTCATCGTTTTATTCCAGCCATCTTTCGAAAAAAAAATCTTTAGCTGCATATACACTTTTCATTGTGCTTTAAAATGGAGAGTTACAGAGAAAACCACTTGACTGATGCACTGATGAGAAAGTCAGTAACATCACGCTCATTTCTGCATGGTAAATTTGAAGCTACAGCCAGCAACAGGTTAGCGTACCTTAGCATAATAACTGGAAGCAGAGGGATATAGCGAGCATGACAACTTGTACCCGGAGTTCAGTTCTGGACTATTTCTTGGCTGGGTGCATTGACTTCTTTAAAACTAAGGTTGGTAATCCTGGAAAAGTCATGAGGTGCACTATTAAATAGGCATAGACTCGAAGGAGAACAAAATTCACTGCTTATTAATGAACCGTAAAGGTGCTAATAGGTCGATTGTGTTAGCTGCTGCACTTTGTATGCTGAGCTAAGCATCAAACTCTCAGCAAGAAAACAAATAAACATATTTCCTGAAATGTCAAACTATTTGCAGAAGGATACACCAAAGGAAGAGAAGAACAATCTGCATCATATCAGACCTGGATGAAACCGATTGGGCGATATCCAACCATTATGATATATGTCGCAAACTCTGTATGTTCTCCACAGCGTTGAACTTTATCCACGACAACATGACAAGCCCTGCACTGAGTCGGACGTCAGACTCTCTGATGGTCTCTGTCCTGTTTCTGATGGAACTGACTCAGCTGCTGTCAGAGGCAGAGGACAGAGTCAACAGGACGCAGAGCCTGAACCTGAGGAGTCACACTGCTCTACAACGTCTGCAGGTGAAATGCGCCACTCGATTACTGTGGCATATACTTCAGATGTACACAAACTGGTTCTGTATTCTTGTTTGTCTTCACCTGTCTCTGTTCATCATTTCATTTTCAAACTCAGGTGGAAAGAGAACAGAGCTCACTTCCTCCTGTGACTGAAATGACCAAAGATCTGCTGATAAACATCATGGACGTCTTCTTATTGCTTGAGGAAATTAAAAAAGTAAGCTGCCATATTTTACCACCATGATTCCACAAGACAATCTTCAACAAGACAATTTGATTTGGAAACTGAATTTATTATATGTAAATTGCAGGAATTTGAGAACCATGCAGGTCAACTGGATGGTGCCAAAAGGGAACTTGTCAAGAAGTTTAATAACATCTTCCAAATTAAGGCCAAAGTGGAAACTGTCAACAAGGCCGAGGAACAAGCAGAGCAGCTTAAAAAAGATGCAGCAGAACTTCAGTGAGTTTAAAAAGGAAGAAAAAAGGAGCCTAGATATAATTACCATAAAGACAATGTGTTTATGTTGACATAATGTATTATATGACTTTGCAGAATGCTTCATAATGCTATTAACAGCAATGAACGGCTCAGAGTTATGAGTGATGGAGATTTTATCAGCATCATAAAGGCCATACATGAGACAGAAATAGCAGCTAATCAGTCCAGAGAGGCTGCTTATGGAGCTTTAAAGGTAACTCTGTTGTTATTAATGCTGCATGATGTGTTCAATTAAATGTTTAGTTGTATAATGTTAATTTAAATTCATATCAATATTATTCTCTTACTGTAAACTAGGATGTGCAAGAGGCAAGTCTGGACAAGGCCGAAGGACTCAATAATAATTCAAATAATTTGCAAACAGAAGTCGACAACTCTCAGGGTGACCTGAAACGTGTGTAACAAGCATCATTTGTTACAAGTCACATGAGTTATTTTAATTTGAACACACAAAAATTAAATGCTGTTTGATTTTTTTTGGACAGAGCTTTCCCATACAGTGAACGCCTGTAGAGACCACGTGAAGAGGCAAAAGGAAAAAAGAAGATCACTGAGAATGAGAATCACAGCCGTCACTGATGACCTTAAAACAAATAGAGGTCAGTGGATTTCAAGTGAGCAGATTATTTACTGCAACTACAGCACAGCAGATCATCATGGTGTTTTAAATTCCAGATGACACCACACTCCTGATAGACTCGGCGAAAAAAGCGGCCTCTGCATCTGCCTCCACAGTCATTCATTTAACAGATAGACTGAGGAACATCAGCCAGGAGGTAGAAAGAATAACTCTGAGCAGAGTCAGTGTCAACATGGACAATATGTTCGTCGATGTAGAACAATCATGTGAGTATTTAACAGTAAGAATCTGTTATTAAATTCTAACAGCGCCCTTTTCCCTTATATTTGTTAATTATTTTGAATGTATGTGTTTCAGTGAAGAAATTGAAAATCAATCTCCCTGTGTTGATGAACAACCTCAAACAAGTTGAAGCTCTCAAAAGGAAAGCGCCCCCTAGTGGCAACATGACAGAAAGCATCTTGAAAATCAAGGACGTGATAAAGGAGACAAGAAACTTTGTTAACAGGGTAAAGTTTTCCCTTGAATCTGATGTTTCTTACCTGTCAGCTTTGATTTAAAGAGAATATAATCAATATCAATGACGATGGAACAAATAATGATGAACTGATGAAAGATTATCACCCGATCCTTTTTCGTCAGCTCTATGGAGCTTTAAAGTGTCGTTTGACTTATTTTAGTACAAAAACTAAAAATAATATCTACTGTATTTATTTTCTTTATACATTCATATTTACACGGATCTTCTTACAGCTCTCCATCGCCACAACCTTCAATGGAAAAGGCCACATTGAGCTTCATCCTCCGAGAAACCTTGAAGACATAAAACCATTTACAGCTTTCGACCTGCTTCTCAATCATCATCAAACCAGTCCCTCCAAGCCTGACCACAGACGAAAGCGACAACGACAGAACAAACGAGGAGATGTCAATCTCTTTGTTCTCTACTTGGGCAACAAGAACGTGAGCGGGCCTCCTTGTGTTTCACAGGAAGTCAGGATCTTTTTCAGAATATCTATATCTTTATTTATCTCATTTTATTTACAGGCCTCTGGAGACTACATTGGGATGGCGATCAGAAACAACGTATTGATTTGTGTCTATAAATTGGGTGGAGTTGTCCATGAGGTGGAAACCAAGCACAAAATAACTTCGACCACCAATGTGAACGCATCAGACTTTGACAGGATTATCTTCTCCAGGTATGTGAAATACTTTTAGAGAGCGAGGAAACTTAGTTTCCTCTACATGTAATCAGTTTTGTGATTTTCTCTGTGTTCACGATTCCTGCAGAGTTTACCAAGATGCTGAAGTCAAGATCATAAAGAACTTCACATCACAGAAGCCCATCAGCCTCGCTCCTTATCAAAACCTTCCAAACACGATGAGCAGTGTCCTCAACCTGGACCCAGACAGTGTTGCTTTCTACGTGGGTGGATATCCTAACGACTTTACGGTAATAACACAGCTGTTATTTCATTATGTCTGCATGGATTGACTTCTTACACCACAGAAACAGAAGACGGACAATCATACAAGGCTTTATCGATCTGAAGTGACAGCCAGTAAGATCTGAAAAATCTCAAAAACACAATAAACACAGTAAACAAGCCTGTGCACTCATTGAATCAAACTGCCTTATAAAGCCTTTTTCTAGAAATAAAAAAGTATGATCATTTTGACATCATGAGTCTTATTTTTGACCACTTAATACAAATACTTTTTCACTGGGTCAAAATTCTGAATCAGGCAACTTTAAGATTAAGTTTATATTTAATAAATCTGAATTTTAACTTCTTACTTTTGACTTGGCGTCTCATCATTTTCGCAGACAATCTCATATATTTGACCTGGTATGTCAGAATGAGATTATTCTCTCCTATAATTTTGAATTAGTATCAAATAATTATTACTAAGTGAAACTATTGATATGATAAGTAAATAGTAAGTTTAATACTGTGCACATAATTGCTAGTTACATAATTTTTTTGAATTTTGATTTTTTTTTTTTTTTTTTTTGGTCTTTTATCTTTTACGTTTTTTCTTTTCTTGACAGAAATAGGCTTCCATATGTAATTGACACAACCGAAAAAATCCCACCGAGCAGTTTAGAGCACTGATGAAGTTGAATCCAGAGAGTACAGAAGTTCCTCACTGACCTTTTTGACTGTTCAGTGGCAGAATAATGAGACTGTGCTGCAATGGTTACGAGTTTTAAAAAAGGAAACAGAAATCTGACCAATTATTAACAAACCATTGACAAAAAATATCCAGTGTCATGAATATATTCTTATTGAAGTGTTGTTGAATGTTCAGTCCCTGTTGCTCTGACTCCTCCAGCCTCCACTGCAGCTGCGTTACTCCAGATACAGAGGAGCCATGAAACTCTCCTACATCAACGATCATCCTGTTTGTCTGTTCAACTACAAACATGCAGTCAACATGGACACTAGGCAGCCTCATATTAAGTACGTTTTAAAAATGCACTGTGTTTTTAGACGTTTGTTGTTGCAGTCACAATGACGATTAATTAATTTTTCAATTGGTTCAGGATTCCACAAGTGGAGGTGTCAGATTACTACGATGGAACAGGTTACCGCATGGCGTTCATGAAGGAGTCGGGCAAGAAAAAGAGACAATTGTTAAGGTTTCACACAAACAGCAGAGAGACAGACGCCTTGTTATTCTACATTGGAAATGAAGTATGATCTCTTAAATGGAACTGAACAGATTTGCAGCTGCACAGCTCAGACGCAGACTCAGTGTTGAGCTGTGTGTGCTCTATAAAAAGACTGATCTTGTGTTTTATGTTGCAGGAGTCTTTCTTCTGTGTGTTTGTGGAGAGAGGCTCCCTGGTGCTTCAAGGACAACAAGCAGGTCAACAGCTCAGAGCTCAGAGTGCGGAAAAAGTGTCTCTCTTTGTAAGAGGATCTAAATATAGTTACGCACCGTAATGAACACTAAGCAAAGCAAACTGAAACTTCTGAATGCATGAATGTAGTTGTTCCATTTATAAACTGTTCTACTTAAAAAAATGTCTCCTGTCTCAGGACCAACTCTTTACAGTCACTACAGCAGAACGATTTATTGTGCACTACGGACGACAGCAAATCTCCACGGATCACATTCATACAAACTACATGACTTATTACATCGGGGGTTTACCAGCACAGCTCAGGTTGAGGTAACACAACCGATACTGTACATACAGTGTTAACAGCTTTAGCTCATCAGATTAACCCTTCCCACTGGTTTCTGTGGTTTCTGTGTCTGAATTTCAGGCACAACATCACAGCTCCACCACTGAGAGGATGTGTGGATCACCTGACAGCAGACGGGGAGATTGTTGAGTACAACAGGACGATAGGTGTCAGCGATGGATGTCCAGTCTCACTACTGGTAAACTGACAAAAAGCGATGACCAACCATACACGGCTGAATGAATTTGACTGAACATTGTCTTAAAGGAGACATATCACACTGATATTCTGTTCTGTCTGCTCTGTGCTGATTGGTCAATTGCTTCGAGTGTGTGACGAGGGGCGAGCCACATTAGCAGCTAGGTGTGCATTTGTGGCGTTGTGATTTCAAAATACTCCGGAGGTATCAGCTGGACTTACGGAAGTTTTCTGTTTTCACTGCAGACCTTTGGCTTTTTAACTTTGTAGAACTTTTACATTTGCAAAAAACAGACACAAGACAAAAGAGGAAAGAAACACTGAAAAAAACAATCTCCTTTAAAATACAGCCTCTATCACAGGCTCGAGATCAGTATTGAAAATAAGAATCCTTAAGTGGGAAATCAGAAAGCTTAAAGGTAAAAGCAAATTACAGCATTTAAAGTGAAATGTGAAAAATGAAAAATGTAATTACATCAAATAGAATAGAACAAATTGTCATTATCTTTTTTTGCAGTAGAATTTAAGTGAGCAGCACTTAGACATGTGAATGTAATATGTGTGTTTCTGGTTTGTGAAGAGTGTCCGTGCAGCGACACGGAACTCAGCTCTGTCCATGGATTCCCTGACTGTGTGGGACGAGCAGCCTGTCAGAGTCTCTCTGGGCTTCAGAACGGCACACAGACACGCTGCTCTTCTCAGGAGCAGCTCTCAGGTCAGCTCTCCCTGCAAGTGTCAGATTTAAATGATATAAACTGATCAACATGACTCTGTTAGTCTTCTCTCATCTTCTACAGGGCTCCACCTCTGCCCTGGACCTTCAGCTGTCCCTGGATGATGGCTATGTAATATTTAACAGCAGAAATTATACACTGAGGTCTGATGAAAGATACAGTGATGGAAAGTGGCACTACTTGTCCGCAGTGAGGAGACCAACAAGGTAAGATGTGCCCTCCGTTTGTACAACAGTTGTACCTTTACTTCATTTAAATAAATAAAAAGGCAAGTTGTCCTGATTCTCTCAGGTTGGAGCTCAGCATCGATAATGTGAATGTGACTCAGGGGCGATCACACCACATCAGGCCAGTGGATCAAAACTCACAAGGAAAGAAATTCAAAGTCTGCATTGCTAACCTTTACACCAGGAGGTTTGGATACATTATAAATCGTTTACCACTGTTTTAATAGTACTGTTGCAATATAGATGCTATGCAGTGTGGTTTTGTCTTATGACAACAATAAAGGAGAATTCTGTTCATTTTCAACTTCTCCTAGTTTATAAATGTGGACGTCTAAATGAATGATACCCACAAACACTTTTGAAACCATTCCAGTAGATCGGCTACGACACGGTGGAAGTGGCTACGATGTAATCTTATGTAGCAACTGCGACAGTCCAAGAAATGTTCACCCTCAACATTATAAACCTGTGATATTAGGGTTTAGCAATACATGCAACTCTACCCAGTTGCAAGGGAATTTTTTGTTCCTCTCTTGGGCTTTTGTATGTAGTGTAGTGTCCGTTCAAGCTCCTTTGCCCTCAACCAATCAGGAGAGTGCATGCATTGTAGTCAGTATACAAGCTGCTGACTGTATGGAGTTTGTAAGCTGCGAGGAAGTGAGCATTCAGCTACCACCTCCTGCTTTATGCACCAGCCTCACAGTATCATAATCTATGTTGGGCTGTATTCTTCAGCTGGACCCTGAGTCTGAATAATAAAATATCACTCACAAGTCTCGTGAGTCTTTAATGAAGATGGAGGTGGAAAGTGAGAGAGAGTTGGAGAGTCTGGATTTTACTCAGAGAAACTGTTATGATCTAATCTTTTTCTGAACAATGTTAATGAAGTATTTAACTTTGATGGATGTCCCAACTTGATTGAGCTGCAGTATACAGATGAAGAGAAAAATTGAGCGAATGAGGAGGGAGAGGACACAAGCAGAGGAGGTCACGCAACATCAGGTGGACTGTGGACTGTCATAGTTGCCCTATAAGATTACATTGTAGTCACTGCTGCCAGTGGGGGTGATCTACTGGATCGATTTCAAAAGTTTTTAAAAGTACTACTGAATTACACACCAACATTTATAAACATAGTGCCCAGGGTTGACAAACAGAAGAATTCCTCTTTAAGTAATGTTTTATGAAATCTGTAATTTTCGCCAGGCCTGAGCAGAGCTTTATACCTGCGGATCTAAGCTCATTTTCACACATGGGAGACAGTGTTCTTGGCCGGTGCAGTCTCCATAGTTCACCACATCCTGAGCATTTACCTGCACCAGTGCTGAAGAAGCACCACAAATACAAACCTGTGAGTAGAACAAGACACCATCATTACAGCACCACAATAATGCTACCGTTGCTTTCAGTACTAGATAGTGATGCAGGTTATTTCTCCACTTCCTGTCAGATTCAGGCTCCTGTGGGCAGTCAGTGTGTACACCGAAGCTCAAAGCTCGGTGAACACCAGCTCTATGATGATCACAGCTGGCTCAGTTACACTCTGCCACAACAGGACCTTAACTACAGGTAATGTTCGCTATGGTTTCATAAAAACATCCATCTATTCATTCACATGAACAGTAAAGAGGGAGACCTCACTGGTGTGCTCCTCTTGTGTCTCAGGCCTCACTTCTCTCTTGATATCAAGACCAAGTCGTCCAAAGGTCTGATCCTCCATGTGGCAGGGAGAGGAGTTGTGCCGCTGCTGGCTCTGTACATGGCCAATGGCAAGATCAAGGTGTCACTGGGCCAAGACAGAATCATCCAACACAAGCAGAAGAGCAACGACGGGAACTGGCACAGAGTAAATGACCTTTTGCTAACCCCTACCCTAGTAACTGTTGATGTACCTGTTAAAAGTGTGCACACAAGATATTGATAAACGTTGATCTTGTTAAATAGAATGAAGAGCACATCTCAGAGGCTTAAAGCTAAACTGTGAGTCTTTGTCAACTTGCACACTGTGAGTTGGTTGATGACTATATCCAGATTTTTTTCCAACATTTCTAGGGTCTCAGTAGAGCGCATACCTCTGCCAAGGCCCTTAAACTCAATCTGCCCCAACTTGCACACACTTATAGACATCAGTCCCCCAAATATGCCTTTTTTCATCAAGATCCATTAATCATTTCCAGGGAAATCTGTGTAAATGTCAAATCTTGCCATGACTGTATCCTTCCCTGACTCATACTGCTCATACATACTTTTCTGACCTAACCTGCAACAGATTGGTCAGGAAAACAAGTAATTAGTTAGCTACCTGCTTTATTTATAAGGTAGAACAATTTGCTTAGGCCACTATGCTAAGGTAGTAGTGAATGGCTATGCAAGTGTTGGAAGTTTACATTGGAGACATTGAAAAAACACACAGCTTAATCCATTCTTATATAAGGAGGTTGTTATAAGTCATTTTTGTAAAGACTGAAAACTCAGTCTAAAATGTAGAGAGATCACTGATGCTTTACAAGAACTCGATATGACATCAAAAATGCTCACTTGAATAAAAATTGTGTATAAAGTACTTAAGCCGATAAAGTGTTCTAGTTTCCAGGTTTGCCCTTGTGGCCCACTGCACATGCTTATTAGTGTTTGACATTAGTTGGCCCAAGCCCATGCATTTCTGCTCAGGCCATAGATTCACATAAAAGTGGCTTTTCAAGGATATGGGAACGCTTTAAAGATTTAAATTCATTGAACAAATAGTAATAACTGATTCTTTTTGATGTTTAAGGTGTCTAAATTGGAGAATTAGAGACCTACAAACTCTTTGCCCTCCGACTTGTTTTGATTCACCCGACTTGTGTGACAGATTGTATGTGTGTGTGCAGGTTGAGTTCAGTGTGGAGAAGAGCACCTTTCATCTGCTGGTTGATGGAGTCCGTGTGACTGATGGTCGACTACCGAACAATGAGGGATCATCTTTAGACTTTCACAACCTGGTGTATCTGGGAAGTGATCTGAAAGGCAGAACCATAAAAGTCTGTATCAAACCTCAGTCGCTGTTTGATTATTCTTTAAAAGTCATGTCACAAGACCATGTCGTCTCCTCCCACAGGGACAAAACATTCCCATGAACAGTGTTACCGGCTGTATAAGGGGTTTCAAAATGAATGATGTCACTGTTGGTGAACTCGAAGGAAGTCATAAAATATTACCCTGCTTCGATGGGCTCATGGAGATGGGGACGTACTTTGGTGGCGGTCACATCGTCTTGGGTTTGAAATAGTATTTTATAGAATCTGATTCATTGCAATTTACATCAATATCAAATATCTAAAAAATAATATTTCTATTCTAGATAATTACTTCAATGTTGGCTCCCACTTTGTGTTGTCCTTCGAACTGCGTCCTCAACACCTGACAGGTCTTCTTTTCTATGCTCAAAGTGACAAGGCCAGCTTTAATGTGTTCTTATTGGAAAACAAGGTAAAACCTCTACTCTTAGACTGAATAATGACAGCTGATCAGGCAGAGATGAAAAAGAAAAGCTGCATTGAAAGACCACATTGACTGACTGCTGTCTATTACCAGGTGGTGGTCAGCGTTAATGATGGTCACAGAGCTGTCAGTGTCTCTGTGACTCCTCGTGAAAGTCTTTGTGATGGAAAGTTTCACATGGTCACAGGTACGACTTCACATGATGACGACATTACACAAACCAGATCATATTTGAGTGGCTCTACATTTTAAATTGTTGTGATATCATCCATCAGTCTCCAAACAGCGTGAAGTTGTCAAACTAGCGGTGGACTCCATGTCTGAGGAGAAAGCTGTGGCCATTACATCCACCTCACACGCAACCACACTGGATTCACTTTCCATTGGAGGTAAATCCATCAAACATTTCACAGCATGTCTTTCATCAAATATTAGCTGCTAATATTTCACCCTGACCTGAATCTTCTCCTCTCTCCATTCAGGGACAACAATGTACAGCAGAGTCCCTGTGTCCTCACCATTTGTGGGCTGCTTACGAAATGTGAAGATCAATGGAAAGCCTGTTGTATATAAAGCAGAATCTAGGGTGTATGAGCCTGTGAGCATCGATCGATGCCCTAAAGACTAATGCCATAATCAAAGTAATTATGGATCTGACCCCTTATCATAAAAGGCATACAAGCTTTGCCAAAACCCATTAAGGGGAAAAAATCGGACATTTCGAGAATAAAAAAGTCGCAATATTAGGCGACATGTCATTTTACAGGGGGACTATCAGAAGATAAATCTGTCACCTGCGTCAGAATGAATAATATGGAGCATCTTGTTAGGTTGTACTACAGTAAAGGTTTCACAAATAACAGAATACTTAAAATATTTTTGTCTCATCTGCACTACATTATCTTTGTGTTTGTTTTATCTTGTTTGCACATCTTTTTGTTAATCTTGTTTTCTCTTGGTTGTTTAGAGTCTTTCTGGGATCTATTCTCTTGGGGATTGTATCTTTGTTGTTAATTGGCATCGTTTGTGGTCATTTGGTTTCTGTACATAGGGCGCAAAAAAAGGGGTCATGTTCAAACAATAACATGATCCTCTTAGTGTCTGCACTTCACTGCACTAAAACAACAACAGCTGTACTTGCTTCTCTTTTCACCACAAAAGAGCAAAACTACTTGACTCTTCACTTACCCTAACTGCAAGTGATAAAAAAAAACACTTAATCCTTATGGAGTGGGATATGCAAATATTGACACTAAAAACCCTGCTCCATCTCTTTCAGTATTGAAAAAATAACAGCAAAAAGCAAAGGTAAACTGCATTTACTAAATATTAAAAAGTGAACTGCCCCTTTAATGCTGGAGCATTTGTTTTATTCCTTAATATCATTATTGAATTATTGTTCCCTGATATAATTTGTTAAACTCCATTAGCACATACACTGAGGGCTGTCTCCTATACGCTACACATTTATTTCACTTGTTGCATGAGGGTGTTGTATCTTTTTTTTCAATACACATTTTGTATAACTGAAAAGTGGGGGATAAAGTGTTCCACTGGATTACAGCATGTCTGTCTAATCCCCAGGTTAATAGTTGGATGCAGTTCTGAGCTCACGTTTAAAATAAATCATGTTATTAAATAAAGCATTTGATCAGATCCCACTTTATTTTCAGATTCCTCTGAAATTTGTCCTGCACTCCTATCAAACCGAACATAAAAAGTAAAAACAAACATGAATACACTGAAGGGATTTATTTTAAAGTGATTTTTTCATCATTTGACCGAATCACACACAACCAACTTTAGTTCTGTTTGTCACACATTTTACACAACAGCAAAAAATATGAATAGACCTCACTATAAAAGTTTCAAGTGTGTAATGATGTATGGAGGATCACAGTTGAAGGCCTCAGTGGACAAAATGATAAAAACAACCAAAACATGTGCCTGTCAATTCTTAAAGTCAGTATACATGTGTAGTAGTGATATAGAAATTATACTATATGTTAATGATGTATGTTTTATACACCTTATTGTTTCATAAAGTAAAAGACATAAGGAGAGATACCTTAACGTCACATGAAATGAACTGTTAGTGGTCTTGTGAGAGGAAATATAAATGAGGTCACTGACGGTTTGTGTGACGTATATACACAGATACACACAGTCTGAACGTTTAAAATACTACAGCTGGACATTAAAACACATGTGCATCAGCACCTCACCACTGTCTGTTTAAAGTCCATCATCTTCTCTCAGTATAAATACAAACATCACCTTTCAGGAAGTCTAAATATTGATTACTGACTTTTTATGCAGTTTCACCATAATAAAGTAGATTAAGGCCACACAGTTTAACTAGATTGTTTGCATATTACTTGGAGTTATTGTAGCTCTCATTAAAAACAGCTAATGCTGCTCTGTACAGAGGACACTGTGCAGTGTGCAGGAAATGTCTGTTAGTAAATGTCTGGGAGCTGGCTATATTTCCTGTCCCAGTATCCAACAGAAAAGAGCCAGTCCTGGGAGCTGTTGTGAGGGTTTTGACCTTGTTGAAACCACCTGAAAACACAGCAGACAAACATGACATTCAGTGACCTCAGCCACAAAACCATAATTCAACAAATAACACACGGTGAGGGAGGTCAGGCTTGCTGGTTTGCTTTTTACTAAAATGAATTGTTGTGTTATTATATCTCTAGTGCATGAAAGCAAGGAGGGGAATTATTCAGAGGGAGGACTCCTGTAATCTTTGAGTAATTCCATAAAGTGCCAGTAAGTGGAGCTGCCATGCTGGTGGAGAGAAGAGCAGATGAAACACAACTGTCTCCAAACTGTGAGTCTCTACATCTGTGAATCTCTGCTCTATCTTAACAGAAAGCAGGATAACAGGAAGAAGTGCTGGGAAAAACACACAATCACTGCAAACATTTCAGAATAAATCAGTGAAATAACAAGCAGCTCTAACCTCGGACCCAGGGCAGGATTCCTAGAATCATCAAAGAGAGGATGCAATGGAAAAATAAGACAAGTGAAGAGAAAATGGAGATTAAGCTTGAGAATTTCAAAGCAATTAAGAATGTAACAGTGCAGAAACAGATGATAAAATGCAGTATTAAAGGAGACACATCATGCTCACATTCAGGTTCATAATTTTAACTTGGGTTAATGCTCAGAAAACACAACACTGTCCTCACACTGTCCAATGCTGCAGCTCCTCTTTTCAGCCTCTGTCTGAAACACCTGGTTTTAGCTCCTGTCTCTTTAAAGCTCTGGCCTTGATAAAGCCCAGTTATCTCTGGTTGGCCTGCTGGCCCACTTTGTTGTGTTTGGTCAACTGTTTCAAGCTTGTGTAGGAGATGTCGTCCTCTGCTGTCGCTGCTGCTGTGTCTCAATTCAGGGACTGCATCCTACAGAGGACATGGCCTACCCAGCCCACGAAGACCGCTTTAATCGTGGGCCGTGCAGACTGTGAAGGGCCAAACTGAAATGAAACGGTCTGGTCTACAGAGGATTTCTGTGTTCAGCGTCACCAGCTTATCAACAACGCTTATTGCTGTTGCCAAGCAACAGAGCTGCAGTTGGACACAAGATAATTGCCTTTGTTTTTTAACATGTGTATCATTGGCTGTAAAAAGAGAGTTAAAGCTTGAAAGTCAAGATTTGGATGTCTTGTCTCTTTGCTGGTGCCAGGACCCTTTTAAACAACAGTTTGTCACTGAAGCACAATTAATTCTGGTAAGGATCCACCCTTTGGAGCCTTTATTTCTCTGGGGATGGAAGGATGCCACAAATAAAGTAGCTTTCCAAATGGGGTCTAGTTGCACGGCTGTGACACAATCGGACCTTAAATACAGCCTCAGAATGATTCCGCTACTGAACTGAAACATAGCTTTTATATGGCTTTGTTAGTGGGCGTGCCAGACTAGCTGCTAAGAGTGCAAATGCAGGGCATTTCAATGTAATGTGGCGCGATTCCCACTTCTGCAGAGGTGTTCTAGGTGTTTCACGAGCAGTGTTTTCTTCGGGGGAGAGGAGCTCCTTCAACACGTGTTTGTTGGATTCGCTCCAGAGTTTACGAGGCTGCATTTAAACATCATGAAAAAAGAGTCCTCAACACTCAACACGAGACGTGAAGTGCACAATCAGGACTCAAGTGAGCGGAGGATCCTTAATACATTATCGTAAGTTTGTCATCTGCATCATAACCATCCCAATAAAAAAAATGGAACAAATGAATGTGAACTAGTTCATTTTTGGAACTGTGAACTTAGTTCAGAAAGTTAAAGAATTTACGATAACTGTGAACTAGTTATTTTCATCCGTATGAACTGAACTTTGAACTAATTCTTGTTAAGTGTCAACTGGCACAACACTGGCTGCTGGATAGCTTAGCATAAAAAGTGGAAACATCTCGTCTGCAGTGTTAAAAGGGAACATAATACACCTCTGAAGATCACTGATATTCTATGTCCATTTTTTGCAAATATATACAAAACCTGATTTGTGAGGAAAAACGTGCCAGAAAACACATTTAAACCTTTTCTGTTTTTTGACAGCAAGCTTAGCAAACCAGCTCTTGGTTGTAGCTTAATTAGCAGAAAGCTATACGTTTGATAATCTTGTCATCTAACCCTCAAAAAGAAATTCAATTAAAGAGTCTATTTCCTGAAATGCTGAACTAATCATTTCTAGACACAAACTAGATGTAGCTATAAGTGCATATGAAGTAAATGTGAGTTATGTGAAAACCAGTTTAGTTTAACAACATTTAACAAGGGGCTGACAATGTTCACACTGAATATTAAATATCAGTTTCTTACGATCATTTGGAACTGGTTTGTTCTCTCAGTCACAAAGACTGAATTAACTAAACTTATATCACCCTGAAAATGTACTGCATTCGTTAACTGATTGATTAAAATCTTGTTTACTGAAGCAATTACGAGGAAACACTTGTTCTGTCCAGTTCCTCTCTCAGTCTCACCTTGCTTTCCACTCCTCGTCAGACTTGGAGCGGTTCTTACGAGCAGCTCTCTGTTTTTCCTCGAGCCTCTTCTTCTCCTCACTGGCGAGATCTATGTGGTATAAATAATAATACTATTATTCAGACTACTGTGAGCATTATTTCATGTTATTCACATGTATATTAAGTAACAGTTATTACCGATGTCGCCGTTCTCCATGGCTCGTATGTCTGGTCTGAGCCTGCAGTCTGTCTGAGGAATGACTCCCTCCATCTCCTTACGCAGCTCATTCAGCTGCATGGCGAAGGACGTAAAGCTGTACATCTGGCATTGAATACATTTTTGCATGTTAAAACATTTTATATAGTGATATAAATAATAAATAAGATCTTCCAACCAACACTTTCTTGTGGTTCAAATCTGGTAAATAAGGGTGACCAGGTTTTTGACATCAGGGCTCAAAGGCTTTGAACGTATTTGTCAGAGGAGATGAGACTTTCCCATTTTTAAATCATTGTTTAAAACATATTTTCACAGTATCTTATGTTATTTTAGCTTTGTTTTGTTTTCTTCTGTGCTGTTCATGCATGTATCTTTTAAAGTACTTTGTAGCCCTAATTAAATAAGTCTAAAGAAATAAACTTTTTTTCTTTCATCATTTATTATTATTAGAATGAGTCCGACCTGGGCAGAGTTGGCTGGTCTGGGTGCGATTCTCCACAGCAGCTGGCTGCCAGGAATCATTTCCACAGTGTCTGCAGCACGTGAGGGAGTCTCCTCCTGATCCTCACTGCAACCCTGCAAACAGAAATAATGATGCACTGATAAATCTTCATATTAATTAAGCTTGATAGACTAGTGTTAAATATGGATGTCAGTAAGTATCTTTGTTTTTATTCAACATGGTGCTAATGG